CAAGTGTATACATAACCAACACTCACCCCTACCAGGTTAAATAAACAGTTTGAACCTTTATATTTATTACTTAACTTGATACTTATAGATATAGTATTTTTATACCCCTTATTTATTTTATTTTATAATTTAAATATAATATTTATAAGTAACAAGTGTATACATAACCAACACTCACCCCTACCAGAAATGCAGTACGTTTGATGACCCAAAAAAATACGAAGTATGTTTTATAAAATTCCCTTCCTGGGCTGTGATTTCGTAAAGCTTTATGGCCCAATAACCACGAAAATGGATATTAATCAATTCCGACCTACCATTCTTCAAGAAGTTTAGGCCCGAAACCCAAGATTCAAGCCAGTTCGAATTGAACCAGGGTGTGCTATTTTTTTTTTTTTTAAGCATTGAAAGTTAACTGATTAGTATTGTAAATTTTTTTTGTTTTAATTTTAATCCCGAAAACCAGACTTTTCCATCTACAGGCAAGCGAATCAACAAGAGATTAACATGATTATAAAGTCATACTTTGCATTTTAAATTACGAAGAAGAAAAATATGATCTGTTGACAGGTTGGAGGAACACGAGATTGACCCCATTTCTTCCCATCCATCACTCTCCCACATGACAATTTTTTTAATAAAAAAATCACCAATCCTTTTCATAGTACTAAAATTATTAGGATGCTAGATTGCTGATTCTAACAAAACATTTGAGCTCAATAAAAGGGAAAAATGATTGATAGATCTTTTAATTTTATATTTTTTTGACACTTATTTAGTTTAAGTATTAAATTATAATATAAATTAATTAATTTAATTAGTTTTTATATATTGTATATATGATTATATTTTTAAATTTATTTACTTGTAATTTTAAATTAAAAATAATAATTTTTTAATAAATATATTTTATAATATATTAAATCAAAAGATATATTATATAGCAATCAGTATCTTAAAAAAATTATATATATTTGTTTAGGGATTTTAATAAAATATATATATATAGCCAAAGTGTGAACTCCACAACATTCTTTAGGTCCCACAGTACCGGCGGCGACTTGAAACATCCAAAAGCAAGTGTCCACCACGAGCAGTGAACATATCTAAATGGAGATTGGAATATTTGGAGTGAAGATTCTCTTATGACTGGAAACTCACTGGAATTTTCCATGCTCTAAAAATTGCGTTCCAATTCCCAGGTTTGACTCTGCCTCCAATAAATCCATGTCCAATTTGTTTAAGTAACCCCCCATTTTTATGATACCTTTTTATAAAATAATAGATTAGCGAAATTATATTAAGGTTCGATTACATGAAGAGGTTGTGAGAACGTAATTACTCACTTCGAGCGACATTCTATGAAAATTACACTCAAGGTACGAACTACCAAGGACAGCTTGTTATTTTGAACCACATGGTCGTGACCTGATGTCCTGCTTTAGAACAGTCATCAACCACCCACAAATACCCAAGTACAGGAGGTACACAAATTGATAGACAAGTCACAAAATGGAATATGTATTGTCTCAAAAGAATCCAATCACATACTCTTTACCTTATCATTTTTCTCCTCCATAGAATGTCACAATTTTGTAAAGGAAGCAAGCTCAACTTGGCACCCCTTTTTTGGGGTACATGAAAATGTCTATTTGACCCTTGTCTTAGAACAAAACCAATGTCTAGTGAGAGGGCAAGTATGTCTTTTTACAATAAATTGGTGCCCAAATGTGAACCGAATGGAGGAGAAGATTGTGAGATCTTTGTCTACGCATGGTTAGGGGTGCAATGTGGGCAGCTCTGATGGGTACGGTTGGCTTGGATTTGATGCAATCTGGTCCCCCTCCCACTCTAACCATTCTCAATTACAAGTTAACTTTCTTTAACGTGCGCGTTGGGTTTCTTTCATGTTGGCCAAATTGGAATCTCTTCTCCAGATGTGGTGTGGGTGGGTAGGACCCAATTTCCCCAGTATATATTCCCCACCCCTCAACTTCACTATTACACACCTCTCCTGTTTCTCCAAAACATTTTTATCTAACCTCCACATACATTCTGTTCTGCAAATTTGAGTGCATACTCACTACCCATATGTCTCTATTGACTAAAAAAAGTGACTTTTCTGGACTCAATAGATATGTCAATCGACAAGAACTAGATATTCTAAAAAGTAAATTTTAATTTGAAACTTAAGATAAGTGATGAGGATTTAAGAAAGAAGAGTGTTATTCTCTTTCACGTTATCAGTAGTAAAAATATGATGACTTTTTTTTGAGTAACTAAAACTAATGCGATGTAAATAAACCAAAAAAAAAAAAAGAAAAAAAAAAGACAGAGATTTGGTGCTCTTTTTACTGATAACTAGTGAATGAGTTAAAATTGGGAGATGGGTCACGTCTTACTTGCCCTAAATATAATTTTTCCAACATGAAAAGAGTTCCATTAACCTGCTTAAAATTGTCTTCTATGGTTTTTGTCTTTGCTTGTTTTGTTGCTTTTCATCATCACAGAAGCTTTCCCTGGTTTCCCTGTATATGTCTTTCCTCAATTTGTTTCATTTGACAAACAATAACATTTTTACTGTAACCTAACATGCCATTGTGACCAAATGAAGAGATGAAGTAGAACCCACACCTGAGATTCTTACGCGTCATGAATCAATAACAATTCAACACTCAAACCATTGTCATATTTAGAAAAAATATAAATAATAAGTTAAAAACAATTTAATACTTTAATTGTAAAATAAATTTATTAGGTATTACCAGGCCAACTCACTTATCGGTTTAAGTTGTGTTAGATTCAATATATAATCTGCACTTATGCATAGATTAAGAAAGATGTGTTCTTGTATATTGCAAACTAATTAACCAGGACAGCAGTAATAGTAGTAGTATTTTAATTAACAGAGCAGAGATCAAAGTAGAGGTGCGGCAGAAAATGATGATGGGGAGGGAGTGTAGGGGGAGGAGAAGATCCCTTGAAAGACTACAAAATCCATTTGTTCCCTGAACCCTCTGCCTTGCTTTTTCCTTCTTTAAAACTCAACGGAGCTGCCCACCACCACATGCCTCTCTCTGACACCATTAACGGTTTCCTTTTTTCTTAAACCCAAAACATGGAATTAAAACCCAAAGAAGAAAGAGAATAAAGCGTGGTCTTCCTTTGTTTCACAGTCTGAGATGTAAGAACTCGACATCCACATGGAGATGGAACCCTCCTGTCCTTTTCTCCTTGGAATTTTCAAAATTTCTCTCTCTATCAAGATTTGCTGTAATTAAATTATGGGATTTGAATTAACTGTTGTTGATTAGAGGATATACCTATGTTAGTCCTTCACCTTATTCTATCTTCATAATCAAGCTCTCAAATTTATTTTCAGGTCAAATTTAGTCCTAATGCCAACTATAAGACCAATTAAGGCTGAATTTAACGGGAAGGTCACGTAACTTCATGTGATAATTAGTACTGTCATCTCTTTGTGGAGTCTTATCTAATCAGCTTCGTTGGCATGCATAAAAGTTGATATGATTTTGAAAGTATTTAAAAATTTTATTTTTGTATTTAGTAACGTCGTATCGTTTACTTTAATTAAATTTAAATATTTTCACCTAACATTAAGGGACAACTTTTTTGAGTTGAAGGAGGCTGGGCAAAGGAAGATTGAGGATTCAAATTTAAATCTAGTTGTTGGAGCACTTGTCGGGCTACCAATAGCATTGCTATGTTAGCTTCCACATAGGCAAATAATGCTGAATTTTTTTTTTTTTTTGGCTGTGACTAATAAAGCTTATTAACAATGCTAATTAGCTAGCTAGTTAGCTGAGAAATATTAATAGTCAAGCAGTTTTCCAATTAACTTTGGATTTAATTGATATAAGATGGAGTTTGGTACTAGAGCTTAAATACTAACTCCTAAAGTCATTAAGCCCGAGGGTTGGATTGAGAACACAAAAGAAGGTTAGCAACTAACTTAGGGTTTATTATTCCTTAATTAATTGACATATAATGATGTCCCATCAATACAAAGATTGCATTGATTAGCGCCATTGGATCAGGACACACATATAAATTCTAATTTATTTTTCTTGTTAATGAGCAACCTACCCTACAAATATTACTTTGGAAAATAAGACCGACGGTCCAATTATCATTATCGAGTATATTTTATACACCAAACATTACAAAATAATTAATACGGATAATAAAAAATTTAAAAGTGGGATTTGCTGGTAATGAGGCTTCATTGGGTATAGTGCTCTAGGGATTCCCTCTATCTATACTAAGGAATGTTACGTAGTGTGCTGTCTCGTGTTAAGTTCTTTCTTGAACCTCTCAAGATTCATCCCTTATGCTTTCTTTACCTCCCTGTCTTCTTCTTGGATTTTAATTGTGCCATTTAAGCCCCCCCACCCCCCCACCCCCTCACACACAAAAAAAAGTATTATACCTAATTAATTATAATCAAATTCGATTAGAGAGAACCCATCACGTGAAATTTTGATTTTAATACAATTATTTTAAAAATTATTCTTCATTGATTAGTCATTTTTATTTTCAAATCTCTACTCATATGTGTTTTAAGGTTTAAATTCTGTACCATTTTGTCGGTTGAGAGAACACACACTATCTCTTCAATTCTCCTTCATAATATTTCAACCCATCAAGAAAGACTAACGTCGCTACCTGCTCTTTGTCTGTTTACAGTTTGTTTCCTTTGAGAGAAGTAGAAATCAGAAATGTTGAGTAACTGTGAGAAGATGGTTGTCATCTCTCCAACTACTAACGAATGGCCACAGGTTTTTCCTTTTCTCTTTCTCTGTTTCTCTGTCTCAATTATTAGACAAAAAAACTGACCCCATTTTTGTTGCTTTGTATTTGGAACAGAATATCTCATTTCCATGACCTGTACCGTTATTTTACCTTAACAAACACTCCCATTCAACTCTTTCTTTCCTTCCTGTTTGGCTTTCGCTTAGTTATTGCAAAGATTTGAATTCAGGTTCTTAAGCCTGCTTTTCTAAGTGCAGACTCAGGTAGATGAGAAAAACCTGATGGCATCGAGTAGGCTTATGGAAAAACCGACTCATCAAGATCAACAACTTCTTCAACAGCAGCAACAGCAACAGAAACAAGCCTTGAGATGTCCTCGATGTGATTCCTCAAACACCAAGTTCTGTTACTACAACAACTACAGCCTATCCCAGCCGAGACACTTTTGCAAGGCTTGTAAGCGTTACTGGACCAGAGGAGGCACCCTGAGGAATGTTCCGGTGGGAGGTGGGTGCCGCAAAAACAAGCGCGTGAAGAGACCGGCCTCCGCCGTTGATGGAGGCTCTTCTGCTCCTAGTACAAGCCCTAACACTACTTCCCAACCCCAGATCGACATCTCTTCTTCCTCAAATCACATCAACCCCTTGTTTTATGGGTTAACCGGAATCCCCTCTGATATGAGTCTTCCGTTTTCTAGGTTTAATTCAACAGGGTATGATCTTCAGCCTCAGTTGAACGCACTTGGTTTAGGGTTTTCTTCAAATCCTTTTCTTTCAACCTACTCCATTTTTGGCTCCTCCTCCTCTTCCACCGCCACTGCCACTACGCCAACAATCGCTTCTTTGTTGGCTTCCACTCTTAACCAACATAAGTTCATCAATGGAGGGGCTATCAAAAGCACTAGTGCTTACCAAACCCTAGGACCCTTTCAAGACCTGCAAATGGGGGAAACCGAGCTGACCACAGCCATGAAGGAGGTGAAGGTTGAAGATGGGCAAAGCAGAATGGAGTGGAATGGGGGGTGCCAGAATCAGATGGAGCAAATCGGGTTATTAGATCCTACTGTTTACTGGAACACAAGTAATACTATGGGAACTGCTTGGCATGATCAAGGAAACATTGGCTCCTCAGTCACTTCTCTCATCTAGCATAAGCCGAAAACCTTCTTAATTACTCTTCAATCTGTCTCCCTCTTTTTTGGGTCTTTTTTAGTTTTCTACAGATTACTTACTACTGTTTTTAGTGGCTATGGTCATAGTGGGCCGGGTAACACTACGGTAAAAAAAAAAAAAAGGGGGGAAAAACGCCAATAAAATTTTCAAAGCATAGATGGGAGAAGCTTGGATCGGAGTGATCATGTCAGCAGCAAAATTCAGCCTATAGTTTTATAGTCAAAGGTTGAGGGTACTCCATTTGCGCTGAGAGGAACCTCGGATCCTTGTCATCTCATCATCAACATCATCATCAAGGTGGATCCTTTTAATTTGGTGCTTTTTTTTTCTCAGTTGCGTGAGTTTTAATTAGTTTCTGTTTGGTATATGTAAATATGCTTATATGTATTTGTTATAAGTTGGGGGACTGGGGGTATATGTTCTCTTGAAGTAGTGCTAATATTTCCTTTTTCTATTTGTTTCACATTTTACTCTTTGTGGTTTTAGGAGGGAGTGGGTATAGTATTGGTATAGAAGAAAGGGGGAGATGAATTTGTAACTTCAATGTGGGAACTTAATCAATGTGGTTGGTCTCTTTGGTTAAATCTTTTTTTTTTTTTTTTCAATTAATTTCTTGTTCTTGGCGTTCTTACAAGAAACTTATAAATGATGTCTTTAGAACATATATAGTTAGGAATTGAGGATTAGACTTTAGTAGGGAGGTCTAGTCCAGGCAATTCATTCTTTAAGCAGAGCAAGAAATGAGACCAAAATGGATATAGAGATAAAGGGCCATCCCCATATTTGGATTTTAGTATTCTGGCTTTAGTGCTGAGGTTCTTTGTCAAGCATCTTTCTTCCTTAGTGTTTGTGCCTTGCATATTGTCACTGGCAGAGTTTGTTCCTGTGCATGCTTTTGAGAGAGAGAGAGAGAGAGTTAGCATCCCATAAAAGCTGCTAAGTCACCATTAATTTATACTTTATTTCTCAACATTTTTATTGAGTACTTATAATATAATGATTTTTTTAACTTGTATTTTAAAATATAGATTAAAATTTATTAATTATAGTATTTATAATTAATTTTATATAAATTTTTATATAAAATTTAAATAAAATATCATTTATATTCAAAATTTATAAAAAAATATATAAATTTAATATAAAAATTTATATAAAATTAATTAAAAATATTTTAATTAATGAATCTTAACCTATGCCCTAAATACACAGTTTAGACAAAACCTATAATAAAATCTTGATTATATTTTAGCATATGCTAGCTAGTGATATAATAATGGTGTAACTACTAACTTAGGGAGGATTTTATTGTTAATTATAATTAAAGAGAGCGTATATAATTAAGTTATAACAACGTCTAAGGCTAGCTCAGGTCATTATTGCATTAATAAAAAGGTTATCTTGAGTCCTTTGCATGCTTTTATCGTTATTAAGTGTTGCTTTATTGATCTGGTTTTGATAGAATCTTCTCATACGTATATTTAATTGTGAGTTATTTGAACTTAAAACTTCTAAGTTAGAAATTTTATATTTAAATTTCAAAGTTATGGGATGAGATGGAATTAATTGTGATTCCAACTTGTATAACTCACCCCAAACAAACAATCTAACTCCTCATGGGGTTCCGGTATGCAAAAATTAATGGACCAAAAATAAGAAATAATTAATGGAAAAAATTGTAATTAGGACCCTGTATAATGTCTTAAACTGGTTATATTCCCCTCTTTAATTTGATTATTCATGATGATCTTGCCCTTATAAATTTTCCTTTTATATATATGAAAGGTTGACTACACTATTCCTTGATCTCCTTATGACATGTTTTATATATATCTCTAATAAAGAGCAATGCAATAGGAAATAACTTACTCTTTCCTCAAATCTCTTTTTACATGTTTCAAGATTTGAATTTAATACATCAGTGCACAAGTTATTCTAGTTGAAATGCCATTAACCACAAAACAAGAGGAAAAGTGAATTTTAGATCTACAATTAATCACTTTCCACCGAAATTTTTAAACAAATTTATGTTTTTTCCAGCAATTTAGTAGAGTGGCATGCATGCTACATTTATTTTTCCCCATTCTTACCCAACATATTAATTAATTAATTATTTTTTACTGCTTATTTATAATTTATGCATGGTAGAGCCTAGCTAGTTTCATGTTATCTCAAAATTAGGACAACCTGTCTTCTATCAATTAGAAGCAAGAGTTTGATCTATGTAACTTAGGTTGTATATCTACTTTAGGTGTTCTTAACTTGCTGAGCCATCTAGTCTCCAATAAAATCCAGAATTTCCATCCATTTATTTCATCAAATAACTAATTTTCTTAATTAAAACTACATAATTCACAAAACAAGCAAATCAATATTGAGTTGAATGGCATTTTTTTTTTTTTTTTGGTTGAATGGTTGGATGGCATTTTGTGTTACTTTGTTGGTTCTTGCCACACTTAATCTTCTTCTTCTTCTTCTTCTTCTTCTATTTTTACTTTTCTCTATATGGGGTTAATTAATTTCAAGCTCCTCAACTTTTAAAATCTGAAAAGTTTAACCTTTTTACAAATTCTTTTTGCCTTTCCACTATGGGTTTTGTGAAATTTATTAAAAGCTGTTCCCTTAAACTTCTGAAAAAATAAATTACTTAAAATTCTGAAAAAATAAATTAAACCCTTTCATTTCATAAAACCCCTTCTTTTTATCATCATTAGTATATATCTATAAAAGAGGGATATATCTTCAGCAGTAAAGATCTACTTAAATACAAATCTTACACACTGTATTTATAAATTTTTTTACTTTTAATGGTTGAGATTTATTCAAATTTATTGAAGATAATTATATTTTTTATCTAAAAAGTTGTGATAAATTTTAACAATTGAAAGTAGAAAGATAAATTATCAAGATTTTGTGTAAGTGTAATGTGTAAGACTTTTATATAAGTGGATTCCTCCTCTATCTTGAATTAACACCAGAAGACAATAAAAATTTAAAATAAAAATAAAAAGTAGGGATCTACTTATATACAAGTCTACACACTACATTTACACAAAATCTCAACCATTCATATCATTTTCACTTAAAAAGTTATGTTAAATCTCAATTATTGAAAGTAAAGAGATAAATGATTAAAATTTTATATAAATGTAATATGTAATATTTATATGTAAATACATGTCTCTTAAAAAAAAAAATAAATGAACACCAGAAGACAGAAGCTCCATGTATCTCAGCGTTTGGGCTTTGCTTCCGAGACCAATCTTAATTAATTTGGGCTTTGCTTCTGAGCCCAATATTAAATGATTAGTTTAAGGCTTTAGCCTTTAAGTCCAATATTTCGTCAATGGCATTTTTGCCATTTTACAGGCGGCAAAATGACTAAAGTATCCTCCCAACAATCAACATCTTGTTGGTACTTCAGTAGTACTAGGGTAAATTCCTGCCCGGACTGGCAAAAGTCCAAACTAATTTTCAATTTTATGTTCTTTCTTTTTTCTTTTTTATTATTGTTTTGGGTTGTCGAAAGCATTGCCCACACTCCAACCCCAACCGCATCTAGTACGACTTAAATTGAAATCTTAAGAAGAAAATTATTACTCAATTTCTTAGATTTCTAACAAAATATTTTTCTAGAATATAAAAATTGGTCTTAATCAAGAGGGTCCTAAGCTCCACCAACTACATTATAATACCTTTTTCTTCTTTTTAAAATATTGTATCACAAGCATAACCAAATCATTCTTTGCAACGGCCACAGAGAAGAAGACAAGTCGATCGTCCAATACTAGGGGAAAAAAAAAATTTTGACCCAACATGAGCAGTTGGGTTCCAGTTTTAATTATTAGACAAAATATATAACGACTTAACCAAGATATCAAGAATGCGTGTAGGCTGGGATCGATAATTCTTTTCTCTTCTTTTATATTATATTATTGCCTCAACCTTCATTCTCAAGCAAGAATTTGAGATGACTTTGTCAAGTTAATTTCTTATTCAATTTCCAGTCAACCCCACGTTGAATTTTGGTTTCGTTCACTTTCTCATATCTGAACTCATTAATATAGTGGCATCTTCAAGTAGGGAAGTTGAGGATTTTTCATTAATTTAGTGGCTTTCTCTGCACATGATCTTGTATGTATATATTTTCAAAAAATATATATATAATTTAAATTATATTAAATTATAAAATATAAATTTTTAGATGAAATATGAATTTTTTAATATTAAGAGTTTTTTTTTATTTAAGGATTTATATTTTATAATTTAATATAATTTAAAAAATAAAATAATAAATTTATATATTTTATAGGTTAGGGACCATAGAATTAGTACATTCTAGAGACATTATTTTGTTGGGTTCTTTCGACAGTTGGAGGATGCATATGTTACATATATGTACCCACCTATACAGATGGTTACGTGACGGACGATGGACCAGTTGGAGAACCTAATTTGCCAAACATTATTAGAATATAACCTATTTGTTTTAGGACGGTACCCCCTCTTTTCGTTTAATATTTGCTAACTATAGATGAATTTCAACTGTGAATCAAAACATAATGATCGTGTTCTTCCAGAGTTTCCATTTCAATTTTAGAAGACTGTTAATT